AATCAGTGATCAAACACCTCCCAACAAAGAACAGCCCAGGGTATCTGATGCCTTCGCTGCTGAATTCTGCCAAACATTTAAGGAAGAATTAACGCAGATTCTTCTGAAAGTCTTCCAAAAGAATTCAAGAGGAAGGAACACTTCCAAACTCACTTGATAAAGCCAGAATGACCCTGATACCAAAGCCGGACAAGGACATTGCGAGAACACAAAATTATAGGCCAATGTCCCTGATGAACAGAGATGCAAAAATCCTCACCAAAATGTTAGCAAACCAAATTCAACAGCACATTAAAAAGATCATGCACCGTGATAAAGTGGATTTGTCCTTGGTGGAGGTGACAGCCCCTCTGTTGGTGTGGTCTGGAAGACAAGATAAGAGCCAGAGGGAGCCTAGGGTGTCAGCCCCAGCCAGTGTGAGATCAGCCCCCATGGACCTGCGGGTCCCCTTCTGAGCCTGGGTCCAGCTCCCCCAGGTTGTAATGCTCACGTATGGCCACCAGGGGCGATGTTTCCTGCCAAGGCTACTCTTCCAGGGCAGGCAGTCTGCAGGTAACCAGTGGCTTTCATCCATGGCGGGCTGCTGCCCTCACCTGAGTATCTAGAAGGGCATTCAGATACTGGGGCCCAAAGAGAGCACTGCACCCTCCCACCCTCCATTCTCCGCAAGACCCCAGCCAGCACCAGGATCTCCTTTGAAGGTTGCTCTTGCTCCTGCAGCCAAATGGAGAGTCCTGGTCAGTGCTGGAAAGGCAAAGCTCCCAGATGCTAGTGGGCAAAATGCAGGGTAAGAACTGTGGCCAGCTGGACTAGAAGTGACCCACCTAAATATGTCCACTGAGCTTTGGGCCCCGTATGGCCAGCTTTTCAAGACTGAAGCTTGGAAATCTGGATTTTTATAGGAAGTTACCAAGGCAACACATACAAAGATGCAAAGCACAGCATGGGTCATGCCAGGGGTCTCCTGGCCCCTGGGCAGGTGGCATGAGAGCCCTGGAGGGTTTGGCTTCCTGGCTGAGGGGTTTGGGTGGTGTTTGTGGGTTCCAGACCCTGGCTGAGCCCAGGCCGCCAGCTTCTGCCCTCGCTGTTGCTTCTCTATCCTTCCCTCCAAACCTCCGGTGCAGACTGGGGCCCTACACTGGGGCTGAGGTCAGCTCCTCACTGCGGGCAGGAAGTCCCTCTGAAGCTCCATGTCCTGTGTCCCCATCAGACGGTGGCAGTGCCTGCGGCCGTGGACACAGTGCCCTGAGATGAGTTTTGAAGCACTCCTGCACCTGCGGCACAGGCCCAGCCACTGGGATGCACCACGTCTCCATGGATTCCACCACGGATTCCATCCAGCGTGTTGCTTTCACTCACAAATAATGTTAGGCCACGGAGTGGAGAGGCTGGTCTGGGGAATGAGGGTCTGCATTCAGAGCCTCAGAAGCCCTGGCCTGAAACCAGCCTGCAACTGCCCAGCCCCGCTTGGCTAGGTGGGGGTCACTTCAGCAGCTCATTCCTGGGCATGCCTGTATCCAGATGGCCTCAGGCCTGGACATCAGTGTCAGGCAGATGGGGGCGGCCACCTGCTTCTTAGGAAGAACCCCCCTTACCCTGGAAGGGTATCCCTTCTACTTTGGCTGAGGATAGAAAACATTCTGTCTTCATGAAATCCTGGGAATATTCGGTGGTAGTTTCCTTTTTGAGGTTCTTATCGAAAAAATAAAATCTTGGCAGTGTAAATTCAGCCCTTGAAAATTGTTCTGGAAATTTCCCTGGCCCATGAATCACCTGGGTCTGGCACCTGTTGGCTGTTGTCGGAAACAGATGCTTGGTGCTGCAAAGAAAAATCGGCACGGAGACAAAGGATCTCTCAGCAAGCAATTTTTACGTCCTGTAGGAAGGGTACTCTCGCTAGCCGTCTTGCCACGAGAGTACAAAGAACAAAGGAAAAGCAGACATATTTATCCTTCCTGCATTGTGGGTCCTCCTTACTGCTGTGTCTGATCTACGTTGGTGGGAGCCAGACTTCGCAATCTAAAACTGAACTTGATTGGCTAATAACTTCAAACTCTCTTGGGTAGGTAAAGGCGAGGCAGAACAGAAGGAAGAGAGGAAGTCCAAATAAGGAAGGGACAGGAAGTTGCTTGCGAAAGGACTTAGAGAAGTAATAGCATCCATATCTTGGTTAAAGTACAAGGACATAAAATGTACTGCGTGTCTGTGCGCTTGTCTGACAGCTACACAGGACACGGCTTAACAAAGAGGTATTAGCAAAAAGCAAGGAGGCTTTGGAGAAAGTCTTTAAAGCAACCTATTATTTCTAACACCGGATTTATTCTGTAACGAGAGAGGAAGCTTTGAAAAGGAACTTTTTCCTCTCTACAGCTGTGTTCTGCCTCAGTGTTCCCATCTCCACAATGGGTAGCAGCTGTTGCTGTTTCATTTGAGATGACGCCGGCAAAGCCTTCAGCACACTGCCTGGCTCCCAGGGGGCCCTCAGAGGTGACGGGGACACTGCCTTCCTCCCGGTCAGTGGTGATGCTGGCTGTTACAGTTTGGGGTGCTGTTGTTCGTGTCCTCTTTCACAGCGTGGTACGCAGAGCCCGGTGGAGGAGCATGTTCCCTCCCTGGACTTCTCCCCGGTCAAAGGGCAGCCTGCAGGCACCTCCCTGTCCTGGAAGCCTGGCCAGCAAGTGGGGGCCAAGGGCTGCAGAGAGGGCAAGCCTGAACCAGAGGAAGAGTCTTGGGGTTGGCCCAGGTATGTCCAGGCAGAGGAGCAAGTCCACCACAGTCCCCACTGGAGCAGTGGTGGGGACGCTGTGGAGGGCGGTGGGCCGGGAGGCAGCCCCTCACTCCTGAATGTCAAGTCAAATGTGACTTTGATTTGCACCAGTTTTCTTCAGAGCACGCTAAAAGTAGAGTAATACTCATTTTACGAGGCCAGCATTACCCTGATACCAAAGCCAGATAAGAACATTACAAGAAAAGAAAATTATAGACCGATATCCTTGATGAGCATAGATGCAAAAATCCTCATAAAAATGTTAGCAAACCAAATTCAACAGCACATTAAAAAGACCATGCACCGTGATCAAGTGGGTTTATTCTTGGTGGAGGTGACTTCTTTGAGGTGGCAGCCCCTCTGCCGGTGTGGTGTGGTCTAGAGCCAGACTGAAGGAAATTTACTCAGGGAAATTTACAAGGGAAACTGACATGGCAGGGCTGCTAGTCTCCCATTCCAAGATGAGAAAACTAAGTCTCAGCAAAGGAGAAGCGGTGAGACCAGCTGGAGGTCCTACAGGACCCTGTCTTGGCCTCCTTGTCCAGAGCCTGACCCCTCCAGAGCTGTGACTACCAGTCCCTGAGGGGGGACAGCCTTTCCACCTCTCCCAGACCCCAGCTGGGAGCTAACAGGCCCTGCTGGATGAAAATCCTATGAGGCTAACAGCCAGCCAGGACCGGCCCCCAGCCACCACCCCTTGTTCAAAGTACAGGGTCATTGTGCTGCCCTCTTGGCTTGTGACAGTTTTGCAACAGCTGCCGCTTGTCTTTGAGTGTGGTGACAGGAGAGGTGTGGGCTACGCAGACACTGCCCTGGGGCTGTGGTGACTGCTGCGTCTCTCTCCTATGCACCTGCATGCCCCAGGACTCCTGGGGGAGCTTGGGCCACACTCCTTCTTCACCCTCCTGAGCTCATTCGTTACCCTGCTGGGTGAGCACAGCCCTAGCTCAGGCTGCTGGACAGGCCACACCATCTGCCCCAGGACCCCCACACCACCCCAGGCAAACCTCAAACTGGTGGGGCCAGCTTTCCACTAGGCAGCCAGGGGCCTAAGCCAATGGTCCCTTTGCCCTTGAGGCAGGAACTGGCAGCAGGTGGTCAGGCCCAGAGCCCAGGCCCCCTCCTCTAAGAAGTCCTCCTGGATTCCTTGCTGGAAGGAAGCCAGCCTCGTGGTGTCTTGCCGCTCCCTGGATCTGTCTGCTTCGTGGACGCTGAGCCGCTCGAGGGCAGGGACTGGGTCTTAGATGTCGCTGCGTTTCCCAGCAGTGCTTCCTATACGTCAGGCGTTCTGCAAATGCAGAGGATGCACACGCTGGCAGCAGGACAGTCGGACATCGTTTGGTTGGTATTGACGACAGCAGCTTACTGTATGATTGCTTCCGGTATTGAGCTGGCACCACGACACTATTAACAGACTGCCCCTGAAATACCCCATCTTCCGTTCAGCGCGAGGGGCGTTCTTACGTTACATCAGCACCTGGTCTGATTCTTTGTGCATCCAGAGGTGTGTTCTTTCTAGGATTGCTCCGCGCCCCTCCTCTGGGAGTCTCCTTCTGCCTGGGGATGGGTAACTTGCCCCGCCCAGAGTCAGGCTGCAGGGCTTGCTGTGTGGCCCTCTCCCTGGGCCCTGGTATACCCAACAGTCAATGGACCTGGAATCCCTGCCCTGGGGCCTACATGCTGTGACAGTAAAAGAGCAAGTGGCTTGAGGGCATCTCCCCAAACATGGGAGGGGTCTGGGAGCCCGGGAGAGCAGGACGCACACAGATCAGGAGCCCCCATCCCTGGGAAGCTGACCCAAGCCTTCTCACCCGCCTCTGAAGGCAGTGAGCGCCCCGTCCCTGGGGGTGAGCAAACTGGGGCATGTGCTGAGATGACCTCACCAAAGGAGCCTCCCTACATTGGACAGGCCTGTGGCCCTGGCCCAGGCTGCTGCTGACCCCACATTTCCTGCCCACCAGGCCTGTGCATAGCTCCTTTTGGGCGTGGGGAGCTCCAGCAGGCTCCAGCAGGCAGAGGTGCCTGGGTTCACTGCAGCACCCCTGAGGCGCCTGTTTCAGAGATGAGGAAATGAGGATCGCAGGGGGGGGCTGACTCCCAGGTCACCCACAGGTAATGGGGCTTGGGGTTCACAGCTGTTCTCTGCCACCCTCAGAGGGAGCTGCCCACTGGGCTGGCCGAGAAGCCGCGGTGGTGGGCGGTACGCCCCGCCCAGATCCTGGGCGGTGACAGGGCGCAGGCAGCGAGGCCGGGTTACAGGGACGGCCTGGGGTTCCGGCCGGGCCACTGCTTGGGAAGGAAGAAGGTGAAGCCACCGCAGCTGGGTCAGGCGCTCTTAGGGCCGAGGGGCGCTGCAACTGTCAAGAGGTACTCCGAGGTACACCCCCAGGGAGGGACAGGCCTGGGGCCTGCCCTACGTGGGCGGGGTGGGGCCTGGCCGGAGCTGGCTGGGACCTCCTGCCTCTGGCTGCAGGGACCATCCAGCTGGGTGGGCAGGACCAGGGTTCATCAAATGGGCAGTTGCCCCCGCTGCTGCTGCTTCTCCCTCCAACAGTCTGCCCTCCCCCACCAGGTGAAGGTGCCAGGCGCTCTCCTCACTTGACCCCTGCCACACTCTCAGGCTGGGAGGAGGAGGGCGTTCCTGGGCCCCCAGGTTTGCATGAGGCTAAATTGTTGCTCAAGGCCCCAGTGCTGTGACAAAACCCCCACCTGTCTGTCTGATCCCAAGCCGGGGGCTGTCCTAAGCCCTCACTGCTGGAAAGCTGACCCAGGGGCGGGAGAGAGTTGGAGGGGGCGGGACAGCAGGTTAATGTGAAGGCAGCTGTTTCCAGGGAGGTGGCAGTCAGGAAGGGCTCCGGGCTGCCAGTACCCAGCCCCCAGTCTGGCAGTCAGGAGAGCCCTGGCTGGCCAGGCAGGTGGTGAAGGGGCACGTGGCAGCCTCTGGCGCCAGCAGCCTTCGTTTTGGGCACAGTCAGAAGGAGGAGGGAGGCTTTTGCCCAGAGCTGACCAGGTGTGCTGTGCCGTGGACAGCGTGGTATGGCGGTGGGGGGTGGGCGCGGGTGTTTGGTCTTGGAGAGCCTGTCTCCGTGCCCCTCAAGCTGGCTTTCCCCTGGTAGGGCACCACTTCTGGGAGCTCCTGGAAGACTGTGGACCTTCAAGGACCGAAGGTATGTACAGACACGTGCAGGGGCATGCCTCCCTGTCCAATTTACTGCAGGCAGTAAATTGAGTTTAATTGAATCAATTCTTAAAGAATTGAGGCCTGGCACAGGCGACCTGACACCCTGAGGGCTGAGAGGCTGAGGACAAGCTCCAACCCCCCTGCACTCCCCTACGCCGCTCCAACCAGACTCCCTGCTCCCTCCCTTGGAATGGGGCGATGGGGCAGGGGGCTGGGTGTCCCATCTCAGGGCTGCCTGCTGACACCCTGCGGCCACTACTGTAGCATCCACACTGCCTCTCCCTCCTCCTGGCCCCCTGTCTGGGAGTGCAAGCGACTCCATCCCTCGCCACAGCTCCCGCCCCGTCCCACCCTGCTGTGCTACCACCACACCACAGCACCTTCGGTCTGCCCAGCACGACCTGTGGGCTCCCAGGGCTGCTTGGCCCCTCAGGAGCATCTTGAGCTCTGAAAGGGCTGCGGTAGGCCAGCCCCACCTCCCCCGGCCCCTCCCATCCCCGCCTCCCCCGGCCCCTCCCATCCCCGCCTCCCCCGGCCCCTCCCATCCCCGCCTCTCCAGCCCCTCCCAGCCCCGCCTCCCCGTCCCTCCCAACCCTACCTCCCCCAGCCCCGCCTCCCCCAGCCCCTCCCAGCCCCACCTCCCTAGTCCCTCCCAACCCCACCTCTTCCAGCCCCGCCTCCCCTGCCCCTCCTAACCCTACCTCTCCCAGCCCCGCGTCCCCCAGCCTCTCGCTGTCCGTGGTCTGGACTGAGTGACCCTAAGACGGAAGCTCCTCCTTTCCAGCTCTTAGTCCTCTGTCCTCAGTCCCCTCCCTGGCCTCCCTGCGTGGCCTCCCTGCGTGGCCTCCCCAGCCTCCCTCCCCGGCCTCCCTGCCCAGCCTCATGGGCAGCCCCGCTTTCCTCAGGTTACACTTTGGTCCTCTGCCAGCCATGCCAGCCATGCCAGCCGCTCTTCTGCCTCCCATTGTGGTGCCAACCCCCACCCCTACCCAGAGGTTGGCACTGCCTGTCTTTTCCATGGGCTGGCAGAGACCCACTCTCACCACACTTGCCCCTGAGCCCTGACAGAGCCATTGCATACCAGGCCCTTAATACATACATACATACATACATACTGAATGAATGAATGAATGAATGGCATGGGAAGGTGGCAGGAGAAAGGCCCTGGGAGGTAGCACCATAGGGCCCTTATTCCCCTGGGTGCTCAGCACAGCCCCCACCCTGTCCCCTCTGCATCCCACCCAGCTCCAACTCTTTCCCCAGCTCCCTGCCATGCTGAGGCCTGGAGTCCCCATGGCCTCACTGAGCCGAGCCCTACGTGTGGCCGCTGCCCACCCTCGCCAGAGCGCTACCCGGAGCCTGGGACCATGCAACCTGTCCAGCGCAGCTGGCCCCACAGCTGAGAAGAGCGTGCCATATCAGCGGACCCTGAAGGAGGGACAGGGCACCTCGGCGGTGGCTCAAGGCCCAAGCCGGCCCCTGCCCAGCACAGCCAACGTGGTGGTCATTGGTGGAGGCAGCTTGGGCTGCCAGACCCTGTACCACCTGGCCAAGCTGGGCGTGAGTGGAGCGGTGCTGCTGGAGCGGGAGCGGCTGACCTCAGGGACCACCTGGCACACGGCAGGTAGGGACCAGGGGGCCAGGTAGGGGCCGGGAGGGATAGGACACAGTGAGGGGCCACAGCCCCTTGCTAGCTGGGCCAGTTCTGGGTTCACAACCACCAGCCTGCTAGAAGCAGCTGAGCTGGAGGGGAGAGACCCTGGGGAAGGGTACGTGGCTAGTCTGCAGGTGGGTGGACCCGGGGGCATCACTTGCCCTCCGAGTCTCTGAAGAGCTGTGGTGGGAAGAGGGAGCAGATGCTGCTTGTGTGGCCCGGAGAGTGAAGCTGGAGCCAGGGCTGGAAACCCCAGGCAGCAGTCCAGAGAACAGAAGCCCCTTTCCCAGACAGAGCCACCAGGGTTGAAGGCGTCCCAGGGAGTAGAGGAGGACTGATGGGGACCACTGGGGGAGAAGCACACCTGTGTCCTCCATGAGCACCAGAGGCTTGCACAGTTCCCATTCTCCTAAGCAGCCAGTGTGCATATATTAAGCACCTATGGTGTGCATGCCCCAGGACAGCCAACCTTCTGCCTTCACCCTTCAACCACAGGTGTCCTGTAAACTGGCTCTCCTGACTTGCAGTGTTGACCAATTCCTGTGGTATAAACACTCCCAACGTGGCCAATAGCAAGCCACCAGTGTGAGGTCACTGACTGTGGAGTTGGAAAGAGGTTTACCTCCGGGATCCTGAGAGCTGATGCTAGCCGGCTCCCCCATGCCACTGTTCCAACCTCTGCTCTTCCCTTCTCACTGGCCCTCCTAGCTGGGCTGTCACAGCCTCCTTCCTGATGTGTCACCAGCCACATCCCTGGCATGCCACCTCTCAGACTCAGCTGCTGGAGGGCAGCCTTTTTTGGGGAGAGTGCAGATTTAGGCTTCATTCAGTAGTGGTTTGGGTTGGTGCCCCAGACCCCCACTCACCTGCTCTGTGACCTTGGCCACGGGACTGTCGATGCCACCTTAACTTGATCTATAAGAGAATCACGCCCTCCTCACTGGGTATGGCAGGCTTGGCACACAGTAGGTGCTCCCAAATGGGGGCTTTTGCTGTGTCACTCCCTGAGCTGCCCACAGGCGGGCCCACCCTCACGTTCATCTTGGTCCAGTTACTTCCTCTTAACAAACTCTCCAGGCCCCACGGGTTCCACAGAGAAAGACCCTGGGTGTCCCCTGATATTTGCCTGGGGGAAGGAGGTGCAGCCCCCTGCCTGGAGAGTGACGGCCCCCACCCTCCCTGGCAGGCCTGCTATGGCAGCTGCGCCCCAGTGACGTGGAGGTGGAGCTTCTGGCCCACACTCGGCGAGTGGTGAGCCAGGAGCTGGAGAAGGAGACGGGGCTGCACACGGGCTGGATCCAGAACGGGGGCCTGTTCATTGCCTCTAACCGGCAGCGCCTGGACGAGTACAAGAGGCTTATGTCGGTGTGTGCGCCCCTGCGGGGGGCAAGGTGGCAGACTCGTGTCAGTGGGTGCACTCCCTGGGGGTCATATAGGCGGGTGCACCCCCTGTAGGGGATAGGGTGGGCTCCCTGTGAGTGTGGAGGTACATGGGGGGCTCATGTCCTTGTGTGGAGCCCCTGTGGGGCTGGGGGTGGGGGGGCTCTTGTGGATGAGTCTGCCTCCTGCGGGGTGGGGGTAAGGCTCATGTCGGTGGGCACCCCTCTTGCCAAGAGGGAAGACGACATGCCACAAGGAAGGAGCCCCAGCAGGTGACAGATCTGGGTTCCAGCCCTAGCACTGCCCCTTGCTGGCTGCACCACCTGGAGAAAGTGACTTTGCCAGGCTTCATTGAGAATTCCCAGACAGAGGATCTGATTGGTTCAGCTCTTCCCTGTCCCCAGGGGGCCATGCCTGAGGACACTGATTGGCTATTCTTGAGCCAATCAAATGTGAGGGTGTGGTCTATCTGACTGAAACTGAGGGCTTTGGTCTCTCTTGGCAGCTGGTCTGCCTGGGAAACCTCTCAGGCCCAAAATATTAGTCCTGTGGGTTCTTTATTTTATATAGTAGACACTTTGTGCCAGGCACTGGTCTAACTTCTTTGTCAATGGCACACACTATTATCACCCCCACTTTTCTTGAGTGAGCCTGAGGCGACTTTGCCCCAGGTGGCTCACACAGCTGGCGAGGGTCGGGTTGGCACAGGCAGCCTGGCCCCAGAGCTTGCCTCAATGCAGTATCCCCTGCTCCTTAACTCTTATGCTGAAGCAGATTCAAGGGACAGGCTCCAGGGGTGTGGGCACTGGCTAAGGCTTCTGGGAGACAGTGGGGTTGGGGTTTGCAGTGGATGCCCAGCTAGGGGAGAGGGTGGCCCAGAGGTCTGCTCCTCACGGACTCAGTTAATTTCCTCTGGGTCCCCCTAGTTGGGCAAGGCGTATGGTGTGGAATCCCATGTGCTGAGCCCGGCGGAGACCAAGACTCTGTACCCGCTGATGAACGTGGATGACCTCTACGGGACCCTGTATGTGCCACATGATGGTACCATGGACCCCGCTGGCACCTGTACCACCCTCACCAGGGCGGCTGCTGCCCGAGGAGCACAGGTCTGATGGCCGCCCAGCTCTGGGTCCCTGATCCCCACCCACTCCTCCTTCCTTAGAACCCCCAGAGCAGAAGGCAAGAGACAGGCACCATTCTCTGACTGCTGAGTGGTGTTGGGCCAGTGAGGACCTCGCTGAGTCTTCTGGTCCACTCCTGCCAAGGGGAGGCTGTGGCTTCGGTCTGTTCACAGACATCAGGTCAGGCCGTGGGTGCACGCATCCCACTTCCTCTGTGGCACAAGCAAATCCTCTCAAAAGTCATTCTTGCAATTCATATCTGCATTTATCTCAACTCTGCACATCATTGTAGAACAATTTTAAGAAGATGAATAACCAAAAAGAAGTCAGCTACTTTTTCACGTTATGAAAAGAGGGCTCCCCACACAAGTCAAGTGAAAGAACTTGCCCGACTTTCATGTTCTCGGAGTTGAGGCATGGGTGGGTCTAATGTTCCGGTGCTGTGCGCTGTGCTCATCCTGTTTCCCTGACCGTACCACAGGATGCCGGCTGCTAGCAGAAATAGTGTCCGCAGCTCCCCTCTGGGTGGAGGGGGTGGTTGGGGGTGGTGAGCACCCCTAGGGAGTCCTGTGGAGTTTTAGAAGCAATTCCTCTCCATCCCAGGTCATTGAGAACTGCCCAGTGACCGGCATTTGTGTGCGTACGGATGATTTTGGGGTGCGGCGGGTCGCGGGCGTGGAGACACAGCACGGCTCCATCCAGACGCCCTGCGTGGTCAACTGTGCAGGTGGGAGTGGCGTCTCTCCTGACTCCTGTGTGGCCATGCTGGCTGCTCCCTAAACCTGCTCCCGCCTCTGCTGGGCCTCTTTCTGGGGTGGGGAGTCGCTGTTAGGGCAGATAGGTCTGCAGAGGCAGCCTGTGCACACCTGAGGGGCAGCCCTCGCCGGGTGTCAGCAGAGCTGAGTCGTCTGTGCTCTGCCCGCAGGAGTGTGGGCAAGTGCCGTGGGCCGGATGGCCGGAGTCAAGGTCCCGCTGGTGGCCATGCACCACGCCTATGTCGTCACTGAGCGCATCGAGGGGATTCAGGTAGGTGGACAGCCCCGGGTTCTGTGTCAGTCTATGTGTTGGGGGGGCACAGAGACCTGGCTCTGAACCCCAACTTGAACCCAGGTGGTGCAACCCTTGTGGGTTCCCTCACTGGCCCAAGCCTCAGTCACCTCATCTGTGAAATGGGAATTGTAACACGGGGTATTTCCAGGTGGCTCGAGGATTAGATTAGGTAGCACAGGTGTAGCTCTGATGGGCCTGGCCCCCCCTCGATGCCCAGAACACAGTCTAGCCTGTCCTACGTGGTGGAGCCAGCCTGGCTTTTTGCCGTGTTCTGTGCCCAGGAGTTTCAGGGAAGCTCCAAAAGTTTGTACGCTCCCAGCGTGCCTGGGACTCCTGTCTCTGAGGGTGCTGGTTCCTAGCACAAAGAACCTCTCTGAGAGCCCTCGGCCAAGGGCGGTTGGGGGCCCAGGTGCACCTGCTGGCACCTGGGACTGGGCACCTCCTACCCTCTCTTCTGTACTGTCTTCAACTCCTCTCTCCTGTGCTGGTGGCTGTGAGCTTCCCGCCACCTTGTCCCCGACTGCCCTCTCCATCCATTCATTGCGCAATCCTCCCTTCCTCATTCCTCTCCATCCAGCCCCAGTCACTCCATCCATGTCTCCATCCATCTACTCCTGTATCCACCCCCCCATTTATTCACTTATCCCTTCACCCACCCCCCTTCCCTTCGTCCATTCCTCCCTCCACTCGTTCCCTCCCTCTATTCATCTTGCCATGTCTCCATCCATTCTTCCCTCCCTCCATCTCTCCATCGTCTCTTCATCTATTTATCTGCTTGTTCATCTGTCCATCCCTTCTTTCTTATATCCTTCCACCCACCCACGCACCCAGCCCTCTACCCACCAATCCCTCCCTCCCTCCCTCCGCCCACTCACCGCTCCCTCCGCCTTCCTCCAGCATCCACCCGCATGTTAATCCAACCATCCACGTTCCATCAAACCCTCCCTGCATCGACATTGATGGGGTGAGCTGGGTGTTTCCAGCCCTATTCTAGAAGCCGGGGCCGTAACAGAGAAAGAGACATGGTTCTTCCACATAGAGCTAGGGGGAGGTACAGACAAGTACACGGGCAATTCCAGAACATGTCGATGAAGGCTTTGATGGAGTCTTAGGGGCTATAGGGATCCCCAGCCCTAATGGACAGGGGGAGGCTCCCTGGAGGAGGTGGCTGCATCTAGGCGAGATTCTCAAGGGTGGCATGGTGGAGAAGGAGCGTGCACAGAGCATGGCAGTCGGGACCTGCAGGCTGTTCAGAGAGCCAGGGCCAGAGGCTGTTGAGTGGGGTCAGTGTGAGAAGAGACTGCTCTTGTTTAGGGTCAGGGCCAGTGAGAGGGACTCTTGGGCCCCTGAGCTGGGAGCCTCATCCTCAGGGGCTGCCTATCACCACCCTGTGCCAGCCTGGCTTCCTGGTCATCGGGGAGATGCCAGGTGTGGCTGCTGTGTAGACCAGAGTGTTGAAGAGGGTGGGGAAATGGGGCCAGAACCTGGGTCCCAGTGGGCTCCTGCCTCTGACACCAGTGTGCTGAGCAAGCCACCCCCCACTGGACACATGACCCCTCGTTCATAGAATGAGTCTAACGTCCAGCAAACACTCACTGCGGGCCGCTGGTGCCACGAGCCGGGTTAGGGGCTAAGAGCAATCACACAGTGGGTGTTGGAGCTGAGTGCTGAGGCCTCTTCCCTGCCTCTGGGTCCCTGGAGAGAGCCTCCTTCCCTAGGTAGCCACCAGGGGTCATGCTCAGGCCACAGTGGGCTCCCAGCGGGCAGGCAGGGCTGGGTCCTTGGGGCTTCAGGGAAGGTGGCCACAGGGTGTCCACGGAGCCCAGGACTGTGGCTCCATCTTACATTCCCTAATCCCGCAAGGTCTGCCTTTGAGCTACCCTTGCAGAGAAGAGGCAAGGCAGGCTTGGCCTAGGCCCCTGCAGGTGCCCCTCCTATGAACGCCAAGGCTCTCGCTAAGCTGGGGGTGTTACTTACAAAGCCAGTCCGGATTCCAACATGCCTCTGGGTACTGGAGCATAGGGAAGGGGCCACCAGCCTCAGCAGCTCTGAGACCTGGTAGGAGAAAAGTGGAGATTTGGGGCTTTTCACAAAGTCCCTCATGTTCCTCTGACAGCTGGCCATATGCAGGTGTCTGGAAGTTCGCCCTTCCAGAGGCTGCAGCTGGGCAGTTGGTTTGGATCTGAGGAAGGGGCCAGGCCGCTAGCCCTGAGCTGCCCACCTGCTGTGGTCTGACCCCTGGGTGGGCCACAGTACAAGCCACAGGGCCCTGTCCTGGGTGCATGCCACCTGTGCAGCCCATTTCCGCCTGCTTGGGAAACTCCCCCAGCGCGGCAGCCTTGTGGAGCAGGACACTGTCCACCCTGATCAGACGCGGCCGCACACATCAGGGGCTGGGGGCTCCGGCTGGCAGGTGAGGGCTCAGGTCTCACGTGAGGTTCATCTTTCTTCTTGGGTGGCCAGAGGTCTGTGTGGCCCCAAGGACCTCCCTTTTCTGAGGATCTGTCCCAGGCCTGGGTCCTAGAGAGCTCTGCCCACAGCGTCCTTGGTGGCCAGGGTCATCTCTTCCCTCTGAGCCACCCGTTAAAGCAGGTGGCTCGGGCTCTCTTAGGTGGTCTCACATTCATTCTCCCGTGACCTTTTACAACAGCAAGGAGCGGCTACTCCATCCAGGAGAGAGCTGTGGGTAAGAGCCAGGTGCTGGATTTAAATGTTGATTCCTTCATTACCCAGGCTGGGCAAGTTTGTCACTGCTCTGAGCCTTGGTTTCCTTTTCTGCAAAATGGGTAAAAACCCCTACTGCCTCAGGCTGTGCCAAAGCACGAACAGAGCGGTGCAGCTGGGTGTGGTGCCTGGCATACAGCAGGTGCTCATGAGGTGGCAGCTGTGTGATGGCAAGGGCAAGGACAGCATTGACACCAGCTGGTGCTTCGGAGGAAGAGCCATGGAGGGCAGGAACAATCAGGCAGGGCTCGGATGAAAGAAGAGGCAGATGGAAGGCATGGGCTGAGGTCAAGGGAGTCAGTGGCACCAGGGCCAGACTGGGACAGTCAGAGCAGGTGGCTGCTGCCTGGAGAGAAAGGCCAGGTCCCCTCTGGACACTGATGATGAGCTGAGCATTCGCTGGGTACTCAGAGGCAGCAGGGTCCGTGCAAAATGCAGGAAGGTCCAGACGTGGATCCTGCTGGAACAAATGTCAGGGGCTTCCCTGGCCACCAGGTGTCCCCATTGTCCTGCTCTATGGAGCTCTGGGGCTGGCTTTGTTTTTAGAGTAGTGGTGCTGGTAGAGGTAAGGATGTAACCATTATTGTCAATCATTATTATCATTGTTATTAGAGAAAGGGTCTCATTCTATTTCCCAGGCTGGAGTGCAGTGGCACAATCATAGCTCACTGCAGCCTCGACCTCCTGGGCACCTCTGCCTCCTGAGTAGCTGGGACTACAGGCATGGCCACTGCTCCTGGCTAATTTTTGTATTTTTTATAGAGATGGGGTTTTGCTGTGTTGCCCAGGCTGGTCTCAAACTTCTCAAGCAATCCTCCTCCCTCAGCCTCCTGAAGTCCTGGGATTACAGGTGTGAGCCATCTCGCCCGGTCTCTGTCATTTTTAAACAGTGCCCAGTTACTGAGGATTTCCATGTGCCCCCTGACAACATGGTGCAATATTTGCACCATGTGCCCCCTGGTGCAAATATTGTCATTCCAATGAACAGGACTCCTGGGATTCTGGCGGAGGGAGGGGCATCTGCCAGAGTGTCCCTTCTAGTCTCTGCACCTCTCCTTTCCTGCTCTCAGAGATAGGACAGGGGTCCCATCTCCTGTGTGCATCGCCAGTTCATGGGCAGGTGACAGAGGGATTGAAAGAAGGCTGTTCCTTGTATGCGGAGGAGCCGCGGTGGAGGTGGGCGCCATGCCTGCTTGCTCTCTAAATGGTCTTGCTTAGTTTAGTTTTGTTTGTTTATTGGTTAGATCAGTAGTTCCTGTCTGCAATGTTATGATGATGCAACATTGTTAATGCCTGAGCAAGTAGTGTCCAAGTTTTTGTGTTTCTTAGAGTTATTCATCATCTTCATCATGTTATTCATCATCTTCATCCCAGCTGCTGATTCTTCTGTAACTGTTACGTGTGTCTATAACATTATCTTCCTCCCCCAAAACCCATACCCGTTATCAGTCACTCCTCATTTCCCACACTATCCCCAGACTTAGGCAATCAGGAATCTGATTTCTGTCTCGATGGGGTTTCCTGTTCTGGACATTTAGTATAAATGGAATCATGTGCTGTCTGGCTTCTTTCGCTTGGTGTGTTTTCATAGTTTGTCCATGTGGTATGTGTATCAGTATTTCATTCTTTTTCGCAGCTGAATCATACTCCATTGTTTGGATAGAATGCATTTTATGTATTTGTTCACCCACGGATGGGCATTTGGTGTTTCTGCCTTTTGGTTATTTTTAATAGTGCTGCTGTGAACACCCATGTACACATTTTTATGTGGACCCACGCTGTTATTTCTCTTGGGTATATACAAGTTGAGCACCCCAAATCTGAAAATCCAAAGTGCTCCAAAATCCAAAACTTTTTGAACATGACACACAAGGAAGTACTCCCTGGAGTATTTTTGATTTTGATTTTTGGGTTTGGGATGCTCAACAGGTAAGTATAATGCAAATATCGAAAATCCAAAAACAAAAAATCTGAAACACTTCTGGTCCCCAGCATTTCACATAAGGAATACTCAGTCTACACATTGGAGTGCAATTACTGAGTCATATGGTAACTCTGTGTTTAACATTTAAAGGAACTATAGGACGATTTTCCAAAGAAGCTGCACCATTTTACGTTCCCACCAGTGAGGTATTCGGAGGAGTTCCGGTTTCCCTCCATCCTCACCAACTCTTATTTTTTTTGTCTTTGTTTTATGCCAGTCATCTTAGAGGGCGTGAGGTAGTGTCTCGTGGGTTTGGTTTGCGTTTTCCTAATGATTAATAATGTGGGGCATCTTTTCATGTGCTTACCATTTGTGTATCTTCTTTGGAGAAATGTTTACTCAGACACTTTGCCCATTTAAAAATAGGGTTGCTTATCTTTTTATTGAGTTGTAACAGTTCTTTAAATATTCTGGATACAGGTCCTTTATTACATATATGATTTATGAACACTTTCTTCTATTCAGTGGTTGAAACTTCTATTCAGTGGTTGTCTTTTTGCTTTCTTTTTTTTTCTCCCAAAATCGAGAAGTAATTACAAAGCCTTTTCATTTTCTTTATGGTATAGTTTGTAGCACAACTTTTAAATTTTAATGATGTCCAATTCATCTCTTTTTGCCCCTTTTGTCATTTGTGCTTTTGGTGTCCTATTTAAGAAGACATTTCCCAACCCAAGACTACAAAGATTTACTCCTAATATTTTCTTCTAAAGCTTTTATAGCTTTAGCTCTTATACTTACATCTGTAGTCCATCTCAAGTTGAATTTTGTGCATGGTGTGAGGTAGGGGTCCAACCCTACCTCACATTCTTTTGCAAGTGGCTGTCTAGTTGGCCCAACAACATTTTTTGAAAAGTCTGCTTTCCCCCAAGGAATTGTCATGGCACCCTTGTTGAGAATCAATTGACCGTGAAGAAGAAGGTTTATTTCTAGGCTCTCAAATATAATCCATTGATCTGTAGGTCTATTTTTATTTAGTACTTCTCTGTCTTGATTATGTAGCTTTGCAGTAAGTTTGCAATCAAGGAGTGTGAATCCTCCAACTTTATTTTTCCTTTTTGAAATGTTTTGAGTATTCTTGGTCCCTTGCATCTCCGTAAGAAGTTTAGGGTCAGCTATTTAATTTCTTCAAAGAAACCAGCTGAGATTCTGACAGGGATTGTGTTGAATCTATAGATCAATTTGCGGTGTGTTGTCACCTTAACAAAAATAAGTCTTTCATTTTATGAACATGAGATGTCTTTCTATTTATTTAGTTTGTTTTTTTGTTTTTTTGTTTTTTGTTTGACAGAGTCTCTATCTGTTGACAGGCTGGAGTGCAGTGGCATGATCTTGGCTCACTGCAATCTCCACCTCCAGGTTCAAGCTATTCTCCTGCCTCAGCCTTCCAATAGCTGGAACTACAGGCGTACTCCATGACGCCCGGCTAATTTTTTTGTATTTTAGTAGAGAAGGGGTTTCACTGTGTCAGCCAGGATGATCTCAATTTCTTGACCTCATGATCCACCTGCCTTGGCCTCCCAGAGTGCTGGGATTACAGGCATGAGCCACCATGCCCGGCCTTATTTAGGTCTTCTTTAAATTCTTTCAAAAGAGTTTTCTAGTTTTTAGCATACACGTTTTGCAATTCTTTTGTCAAATTTGTTCCTAAGCATATTCATTAATTTTCATGACACTGTAAATGAAATTATTTCTTAATTTCCTTTTCAGATTATTAAATGCTAGTGTATAGAAATACAATGGTTTTTTTGCTGAGCGCAGTGGCTCACGCCTATAATCCCAGCACTTTGACAGGCTGAGGTGGGCAGATCACTTGAGGTCAGGAGTTCTAGACCAGCCTGGCCAACATAGTGAAACTTCGTTTCTACTAAAAATACAAAAATTAACTGGGCATGGTGGTGGACGCCTATAATCCCAGCTACTCGGGAGGCTGAGGCAGGAGAATTGCTTGAACCTAGAAGGCTGAGGTTGTAGTGAGTTGAGATGGTGCCACTGCACTCCGGCCCAGGTGATACAGCAAGACTCTGTCTCAAAAAAAAAAAAAAAAAGAAAAAGAAATACAATAGTTTTTTTCTTGGTTGGTTGGTGGTTTTTTATATGCTGACCTTGTATCCTGCTACCTTGTTGTATTATTTTGTTAGTTCTAGAATTTTCTTAGTGGGTTCCTTAGGATTTTATATATACAAGACCTTGTTATCTGCAAATAGGAATTTTTAACTTCTTTTCCACTGGATGCCTTTTATTACTTTTGCTGCCTAATTGCTGCCCTGGCTAGAACCTCCAATGTAATATTGGGTAAAAGTGGTTAAGAACGGAATCCTCCTCTATGTGGTTTTTGTCCTATACCGTATTGATGTAATGTATTCTACTGACTGGTTTTCATACATTAAACCAACCTTGCATTCCTAGGATAAATTTCACTTGGCCATGGTGGGTTTTTGTTGTTGTTGTTTTGTTTTATGTTTTTGTGACAGAGTGAGACTCTGTTGCCCAGGCTGGAGTACAGTGGTGTGATCTCGGCTCACTGCGACCTCTGCCTCCTGGGTTTAAGCAAATTCTCCTGCCTTAGCCTCCCAAGTAGCTGGGATTACAGGCATGTGCCACCACGCCCAGCTGATGTTTGTATTTTTAGTAGAGACGGGGTTTCACTATGTTGGCCAGGTCTCAAACTCCTGACCTCAAGTGATCTGCCCGCCTCGGCCTCCCAAAGTGCTGGGATTACAGGCGTGAGCCACTGCGTCCAGTCCGGCCATGGGATAGCATCCCTTTTATGTGTTGCTGGATTCAGTTTGCTATTGTTTTGTTGGAGGTATTTGCATGTGCATACTATGTGTCACTATTTTCCCCCAGTTGTTTCAAGGGGTCTGTCAAACACCTATTGATACTATTTTCTGAATATGCATACACATCAGATAAACCACCTAACTTCTCTAAGTCCCATTTCCTTCCCTGGAAAGACTTCCTGCTTCCTTCAGAGCTTCCGCCCCCTTCCCGACTGACTGCCGTATGGTCTAAGCTGTCACTCCACGTCCTCCTTCGTGCCTCCTCCCTGATCCATGGCTCACTCTTTGTGGGTTTATTTTCCTCCTTTTGTCACTGCATGTCCTCTGGCCATTTACTGCAAAGGAATACATGAGAAGTACATGTTTTGTGTCCATGAATATCTGAAAAAGTCTTTATTCTTTTCTTATTGACTGATGGCTTCTGTGTTTAAAATCATCCATCAGACGTTTGAAGATTTTGCTCCATGTCTTCCAGCCTCCAGTGATGGGGTCCCTTGTTTATGGCCCTCCTGGCCATCTGGTGGTGTGATGTTTCCCACTGCCTTGGTGCAGTCCTCTGTCCAGACCCAGGGCTTGGCAGGCACTCTTGGGCCCTTCAACATGAATGTGTGATTTTCTTTCCTGTTTTTCCCTTTTTTTTTTTTTGAAATGGAGTCTCATTCTGTTGCCCAGGCTAGAGTGCAGTGGTGCCATCTCAGCTCACTGCAACCTCCATCTCTAGGTTCAAGCTAGTTTCCTGCTTCAGCCTCCCATGTAGCTGGGACTACAGGCACACGCCACCATTCCTGGCTAATTTTTCATATTTTAGTAGAGATGGGGTTTCACCATGTTCCCCAGGCTGGCTGTGAACTCCTGAGCTTAGGCAATCTGCCCGCCTTGGCCTCCCAAAGTGCTGGGACTGCAGGTGTGAGCCACCGCACCTGGTTGAACACGTGATTTTCAATCTGAGGACTCTTCTTGGACTGTTTCTTTGACTTTTTCCTCGACTCCGTTTTTCTCTGTCTTCTCTTTCTGGAACCCCTGTAAAGTGGATGCTGGACTTTCAAGATTGACCTTCTGGTTTTCTTATTTTTTTTCCACTCCTGATTTCTGTTTCATTGTCTTTTTCTTTTAGCCTAACAGCTAGATGATTATCCCGGCCTTATCTGGCCCTTCTGTTGAATTTTAAATTTTGACTATTATATCTCATTTAAAGACTTCTTTGTTCATCTTAGGTTCCTTTTTCATAGCACTGTGTTTCAGGGACTCGTCTGATATGGTTTGGCTGTGTTCCCAAATCTCACCCTGAATTGTAATAATACCTGTGTGTCAAGGGTAGGGCCAGGTGGAGGTAATGGAATCATGGGGGTGGTTTCCCCCATACAGTTCTTGTCGTAGTAAATAAGTCTCAGGAGATCTGACAGTTTTATAAAGGGGAGTTTCCCTGCACAAGCTCTCTCCTTTGCCTGCCGCCATGGAAGATGTGACTTTTCTCCTCATTTATCTTCTGCCATGATTGTGAGGCCTCCCCAGCCATGTGGAGCTGTGAGTCCATTAAACCTCTTTCTTGTATTACCCAGTCTCGGGAACGTCTTTATTAGCAGCATGAGAACACACTCATACACCGTCTTCTTGTATCCCTGATATTCTTGTCATGGTTTTATTTTTAAGAGAGAGTGAGCAGCAGTCTGATGGGAAGCTGGGAAAGGAGGACTGGAGAGCCTCTCAGGAAGGTTAGGCAGCAAGCCCTTCTCTTTTAGCAGGACCCTGGTGTCAGATCTCAAGCCTCCTCTGGACCTCTCAGTGTCTCACAGAAGAGTTTTCTATCTGTTGCTGGGGGTGGGAGAGGGCAGTCCACTCTCTCTGCACTCCACTCCCCATGTCCGGAGACTCTTAGGACCCACCTCTCCGCAGGCAGATCCTTCCATACACGAGCGAGAGCATCAATCCCTGCAGAGGGACCTGGGCTGGCTCTGGAGATTCAAGAGGAGGCAGGGAGGGGCACAGCGGCTTGCCTTCTCCTCCAACGCCAGCTATGGCGCCCCCCCTCCTCCATCCACTCTGCATCCTCCAGTGCCAGTTGGAGCCTCCCATGCTCTGCTGTTGCCTCTGCCTCTCATCTTTGTGGGTGATATGTTTCGCTTCCCTCCCTCCACCTCTCTCTTCCTCCATCCATTCCTTCTTTCTTACTCTTTCACTGTTATTTTATGGGATTTGGGGAAGGACAGGCTTGAATGGCAGTGACCTGTTCACTTGTGCAGCTCGAGACCCCGTGTCCACTCAGTCCTCAGGGTCCTACAACAAGGAGGACTACCTTGGGCTGGTGACCCTTGGTGGAGGTGCTGGCCCACCATGGGCCATGGGGAACCAAGTCCCCACCCAGCCCTGGCTGATGGCAAGGCCTCTCCCTCTGCCTTCCAGAACATGCCCAACGTCCGTGATCACGACGCCTCTGTCTACCTCCGCCTCCAAGGGGACGCCTTGTCTGTGGGTGGCTATGAGGCTAACCCCATCTTTTGGGAGGAGGTAAGATGCCAGGGCCCTGGGGTAATGGGAGGGAGTTGGGGCTGGATTTCTGCATGGAGTGGGCCTCTTCCAGGAAGCCCACCCTCCTGAAGCCCCTCAGAGGCACACCCGAGAACTGCAGGTCCCCTGGCCCCACCAAGCTCAAAGCCATTTTGCTCTGACCCTGACAGTCCTGGCATGCAGTCAAATCCAGAACCAGGGCAGCTGGAGGGCTTTGCCTCAAAACATCAACAGTGAAGGGCTGCGCACTGTGGAGTGATGACCTCAGAAGGGCCTGAGAGCACACAAGTCCTGTGTCCTTCAGCAAATGACACTGCCCTCCCCGCCAGCTGCTGCAGTGGCATCCTTGCCGGCCAAGGCGGTTCCCTGGGCAGCTTCTGGGGTCAGGGCAGCCCTGCAGCCTCGTTCTATGTGTATACGCATTGAGTCCACACAGGGAATGATTAAGTGGCTACTTTGGGTTAAAAACTGCTTTAATTTCTGGAGAAAGAGGGGAAACTAAGATAAAAGTCCCTGCCTCTGGGTGCCTATATTTTGGTGGGGAGACATACAGTAAAAAAACAAATGGCTGGGCGCGGTGGCTCGCACCTGTAATCCCAGCACTTTGGGAGGCTGAGGCGGGTGGATCACCTGGGATCAGGAGTTCGAGACCAGCCTGCCCAACAGGGTGAAATCCCGTGTCTACTAAAAATACAAAAATTAGTCGGGGATGGTGGTGGGTGTCTGTAATCCCAGCTATTTGGGAGGCTGAAGCAGGAGAATCACTTGAACCCGGGAGGTGGAGGTTGCAGTGAGCCAATCTGCACTCCAGCCTGGGTGACGGTGTGAGACTTTGTTTTGAACAAATTAATAAGGAATGCAATTGTGGAAGGTGATTGGGCACTGAGTGAAATGAGCAGGTTCCGGATCGGCCTGGAGAGACTGGAGCAGAGGGATATCCTTTAGACAGGTGGTCAGGACAGGATTTTTTAGGGAGGGGACATCCAAGCTGAGCCTTGCATTAAGAGAACAAACCAGTGTGCCAGGTCTGGGCGAGGAACTGCCCCAGTGAGGGGTGAAGGCCTTGAGCTCAAAGCAAGCTTGCCCTTCCCAAAGAGCTGCAGGGAGGTCTGGGTGGCGGGCCCAGTGGTAGAGGTAGGCAGGCTGGCACAGGCAGGGCTTTGGGGCCTTTGTGAGCTGCAGGGGGCCAGAGGAGGCTTGTGAGCAGGGAGGGGGCATGGTGGGTTCTAGGAGAGTGGGCTGAAGGAGGGCGGGGATGAAGCGTGACCAGCCAGAGGCCACCGCAGCCATCAAGGGCTGAGTGGGTGGAGGCTTGGGCTGGGGTGGGGAGGGGGAGCAGACAGGCCTCCCTGATAGGTTGGTGGGTGGGGGAGACAAACTTCGGGGACCTGTGTGTGACCGCCAGCCCCCTAACGCATCTGATTCAGCAGAGGCTGGCCTGGCAGCCATCACAAGGCAGCTGTGGCATGGGGGCGCATGCCCTGCTTGGGGACAAAAGAGACATTTCCCTGCCCTGCCTTGGCAGGTGTCAGACAAGTTTGCCTTCGGCCTCTTTGACCTGGACTGGGAAGTGTTCACCCAGCACATTGAAGGCGCCATCAACCGGGTCCCCGTGCTGGAGAAGACGGGGATCAAGTCCACTGTCTGCGGCCCTGGTGAGTGGGAAGCCTTGGAGCCGGCGTGGGCGTCCGTGCGTCCTCTGGGCTGACGACTTTTGGTCGTGATGCCCCGTGAGGCCAGTCTGTGTTGGGCAGGGGACCCAGGGCTGTCCCTGGGCCCTCTCGCTGCCAGGTTCCAGCAGCCCTGGTGCCAGGTGTGGCATTGACTCCTCTCCACGGGCGAGAGGCCTGGGTTTAGCGAGGGCAGTCACTTGTCCCCTGTATGCAGCCAGGGCCTCCTCCTGCCTCAAGTATGGCTCATCCTGGATTTTCTACCTGGGATTCTTCATCCCTAGACTCAAGTTGTCCTGGTAACTCTGTGTTTTTGTCTGTAAAATGGGAAAAGTGGGCTGTGTCCCAGTGCCCTGAGAGGCTGAGCAAGGAATGGAAGCACTGAGACCTTCCCTGACATGAGGCCCACACAGCTGTGAGCCTCAGTTCCGCCTCCAGCCCCCACCCCCACTGCTCCCAGAGAGCACTGCCCTGGCCAGGACCCCACACTGCTGGCCTTCCCCGTTCTTGGCCTTGGTGGCCTGCACCCGGAGGGCTCAGCAGGGGAAGGCTCTTGTGCCAAGATTCCCCTAACTCTGGCCCTCCTCGCCAGCCCCAGGAGAGCTGAGCTGGAGGAGGCAGGAGCAAAAAGGTGGGCTCAGCTCCTAGATACCCAACGTGGGCCACAGTGCAGTCCCGCCCCGCCCTGCTGGCCTGGGGAGCTCGGAAGGTTATGCCCCAGGGTGCGGGTGTGGGGCTGAGGCTGCTGGCCTGGGCCCTGGCAAAGGGGCACCCTCTGGGAAGCAGGAGGGGCTAGAGCTGACCTTGGCACCAGGGCATTTACAGCCGAGGGACTCTGAGCCAGAAGTCCCCGAGTTGAGTGTGGGGCAGTGAGCTACCAGTGAGCCTGGAGTCCCAGCATTCTTTCATGAGGGTATCCATTCCACATTCAGTGGCACCTCGTCTGTGCCAGAGGCAGGCATGCTCGGGCCGGCACCCTCCTTCTGGCAGGGGAGACCTAGGACGAGTCACTGACCAGAGCCTGTAGGTGGGTGCTCTGCAGGAGGCGTGGGGTAGCTGGGTGGCCATGGCCTGGGGACATAGGCAGGTGGCTGGGAAGAGGGCCAGCCCAGCCGGGCTCTGGAGGTGCTGGGCCCACCGCGGATAAGTGATCTGGGCAGGGGAGCACCGGGTGGGCACAGAGCAGGGAGGAGGCTCCTCCACGTTGGGCTCCAGCAGACTCACACCGGTGTTCCCCGCTGCTTCCTGGTAGGGGAGCTCTGGCCTCACTTCAGGGCTAGGAGAGAGGTTTAGAAAGACACGGGGTTGCCCCCAGGGAAACCGTGTCAGAAGCCTTACTGAAGGCACTGGAGCAGGTGCCCTCTGGAGTAGGTGCGTCTGTGAGGTGGTGACGGACGGAGCACTGACTTGGCAGGGTGCCCCAGGGATGAGATGCCACAGGGGGTGCAGGGTACAGTCCAGGCCCCAGCAGGGCAGAGAGCATCTGAGTAGACGTGGGCGGCACCAGGTGGGGACCCTGGGGAGTCCCACGGGCCACGCAGGGTGCAGACGAAGACCCTGGAGACAAGAGAGAAGGGAAGGGCTGTGGCCCGCCGGGGAGTCCAGCCCCCTCTGTCCCGGCACGCTCAGCATCTGCTCCGCCCCGGCAGGGGCTACGTTAATAGATTTGCCTCCTACAGGAGCCTTTGGTGGGAGATGGAGCCCCAGGGACCAGGGCAGCGTGCAGGGTGGGGGCACATGGCTGGGGGGCTGTGACTCACTGCCCCCACCCCTGAGACCCCCCAGCTTGTGTGGGCCTGGCAGTGAGAAACAGGCCTGGAAGAATCCCAGGGCACAGATCACCCCAGGCGCCTCTCTCTCTCTCTCTCTCCCTCTCTCTCTCTCTCTCTCTCTCTTCCCCTCTTGTTTGAATTAGCCTGGGGGCCCGTACTCCCTGTGAAGCCCTGTTTTGGGGAAGATGTGCAGGCAAGGCTGTCTTGGGAGGCTCGTGGGAATCAGCATTTCTCCTTGCCAGGCATGGCCAATGGCCTTTGGCCTCCAGAAAAGGGCAGGGAAGTCCCAGGCCCCGTGACTTAGGAGCGCCTCAGAGGGCAGAGGTCTCATTCCAGGACGGTGGAGCTCACCAAGGTCAGGGTGGGAGCTGCTCCTGGCCCCTGGCCATGCTGCCTGGAGCTCCCATGCGTCCTCGGGTTGCTCAACCCGCCTGAGTCATTTGTGAAACATCCAGGAGACCCCGTTCCCGCAGCTGCCCCGCCTCTAGTTCTCATTAGCACTCCCGGCAGATTCCATGCGAGGTTCTTCAGAGCGTCTTTCCCGCCCGCCCTGGGCCTGAAGTAGTTCCAGCCCTCCCAAAGAGCTCCCTGGGCCACCCCCAAACCCAGCCCAGGCTACCTCTCCCACCCCTCCCTTTTTTTTTTTTTTTTTTTTTAAAGAGACAGGGGCTCTCTGTGTAACACAGGCTGGAGCGCAGTGGTGCGACCTTGGCTCCTGCAGCCTCGACCTCCTGGGGCCAAGCCATCCTCCCTCCTCCGCCTCCTGAGTAGCTGGGACCACAGGCTCACACCACCATATCTGGCTACTTTTTTGATTTTTTGTAGAGATGCCGTCTCACTATGTTGCTCAGACTGGTCATGAACTCCTGGCTCCAGAGATCCGTCTGCCTGGGCCTCCCAAAGCACTGGGATGGCAGGTGTGAGCCACTGCACCCCGCCCCAGGCTCACTCTTTCTGCCCCACCATCGCCTCCTGTGGAGCCTTCCTTGTCTCTCACCCAGAGGGCTGCTCTGGCCGCTGCCCTCTGCCCTGACAGCCCAGGCCCTCCTCGCAGGGCCCTGCCCCTCTAGCCTGCCCCTTCCCCACTGTCCTGCAGTGGCCCTGCCACCTCCTGCCCCTCCGAGGAGCCCCACCTCTTCCAGCCAGGCTCTTGGGAGCCTCGCTGCCTCCTCAGCTCTGTGGGTGGGGCCCTGATCACCCTCCTGGGAGCAGTCGGCGCTTGCCCCTGGTCTGCATGCAGAGGGTGACCGCCCAGACCTGGAGCCACCCCCGTTTCTTCATTCACAAACTCAGTGCCCTGGAGCCCCTCAGACCCGGTCTAGAATCTAACGCGGGGCGGTATTGGGGCACCAGCAGCAGCAGCTGGCACCTCAGTGACGCGAGGTCCTCAGCTCGTTGCATTTTCTTTACCAGACCATCTTTTCTGCTTCTTTAAGTATTTGCTCCCTCCGTCCGTCAGCTCCCCGCGGGATGGGACGTGTCCAGCTCAGCGTGGCCTCCCAGGGCCAAGCACAGGACAGGCGGGCAATGAAGGCATGTAGGCTGGTGAGCGCACAGCCCTGGGAAGGACGTCCTGCCATCCCAGTTTTATAGACAAGGACACTAAACCTTGCTCAGAGAGGCAAAGTGACTCTCCCAACGTCACACAGCTTAGAAGGGGTGAAACAGGGTTTGAATCTGGGTCTGTGGCTGCAGAGAGCCAGGGTTCCCCTCCCACTGGGTCCTGGCCTCTGTCCGAGGCTCACTGGTGGCCTCCAGAGCAGGAGATTGGTCTCCTCCCCCACAGAACTTGGGATTCTTGGTTGGCTCAACAGACCTTGACCAAGCACTTGCCCTTGCGGGGCTCTGCCCCTGTGCTAGGCCGGGGGCCGTGGAGTGACAAAAACAGTCCCTGCCCTCTCGAGGTCCAGTGGGCAGGAGTGACAGGTCTCTGGCAGGGACACAGCAGGATGCGGGGCGCTGGGGCTTGCTCTCCAGGGTCAGAGGAGAAGGGCTCCTTGTCGGCAGGACAGTGGCCACAAGACAGAGACGGACCCCACCAGGCAGAACCCGGGCAGGTCGCCGTCGGCTGGTTCTGGTAGCACGTGCTGAGAGGCTTGGAGGGCAAGGGCAGGAGCCAGCGGGGATGCTCCCTTGAGGACGTGGTGCTGAGCAGGGCCTGGAGGAGGGAGCGGGCTTGGGTGGAGGGCGCCTGCAGCCCCTTGCCTGGTCAATGCTTGCTTAGAAGACCCCACCCCATGAGCGTGTGCACTGCAAGGGATTCAGGCCTCCCTCTCCCTTTCAGAATCCTTCACACCTGACCACAAGCCTCTGATGGGGGAGGCACCTGAGCTGCGAGGGTTCTTCCTGGGCTGTGGCTTCAATAGCGCAGGTGAGTTTGGGCAGCAGCTCACCTGGCCCCCATGAGCGAAGTCCTTCCATTTCCAGAGCTCTCGGGGAGGCGGGCCCAGGAGCACTGTGGCCCTTGACAGCAGCGGGGACAGGAGAGGCTGGGAAGTCCAGCAGGGAGGGGTGCAGTCCAGCTGGCAGGCATGCAGCACCCCAGGTGTCAGAGCCGGCCTGGGTGTCTGTGCTGTCCATGAAGTTGGGGGCACGGAATTGGACATGGGTAGAGGGCCTGTGGGGCAGACCACAGCCCTGCACTTCTCTTCCTGCCAGGAATGATGCTGGGTGGTGGCTGTGGGCAGGAGCTGGCCCACTGGATCATCCACGGGCGCCCGGAGAAGGACATGCATGGCTATGACATCAGGCAAGCTCCCACTGGGACCTATAAGCAGGGCCAGCCACTCAGGAGAGGTGGGGCCGGGTGAACATTGAGGGCTACTTAGAAAGGAGTCTTCCCTGAAATCCAGGTGGCTTCCTGGAAGAGGCAGCAGTGAGGGAGGAAGGGAGGAAAGCCACCAGCAGAAGGTGGGCAGTGCTGAGGGGCGGCTGGGGGACAGGTCCACGGCCCTTTACATCTGCAAGGATCTCTTGTCCCAGGGTCCTGCCTGAGCTCCTGGACAGCTCGGTAGTCATCAGTGGGACTGCATCATCCCACCTCACAGACGGGGAGACTGAGGGCTGGGAGCAGGAGGAGGCTGGCTGAACTGGGGTAATTATGCTGAGTGTGTGGGCTGCGGCTTGCAGCCAGGCAGCCCAGGCTGTCCCGTTCTGTCGTACACTGACAAAGTGGCCAGGAATGAGACCCACTTCCTTATCTATAATGCAGGGTGATGGGGAGGTGCTGCCATGTTTTGGGAGCAGAGAGTGCATCTGTGCTGGTGAGGTGCCCGGCGTGGGGTCTACACATGGAAACGCTAAGTCGTCCCCAGCCGAGGCACGGACCGGGGTGCTGACGGCCAGAGCCGGTGACGGCAGCCTGTCCCGATGGCCTTCTGCCAGTCAGGGCCATCTCTTGCAGAGCACAGGACAGGGGTGCAGGCACTCCCCAGCAAGGAGGGAGGCTCCGCCTGTGTCTTGTCCCCATGGCGGTGGTGGCCGCTCTGAGCTGCACAGCAGGGCCTGTGGCCCAGGCTGCACCCTGTGCGTTGCAGGGTGGCTGTGGAGGCAGAGCCGCTTGGAGGGAGGCCGGCCCCTGGGCCTGTCCAGCCTGCTCTGTTCCCAGCTGCTGCTGGTGGACGGCCACCCTGGGGAGGCCCCAGCTGCTCCTTCAGGCGGCAGGCAGGGTGGGCTCCCGAGGGAGAGGGCCCGATCAGCCTAGGGTGCCCCTCGCCTGCTGACCTTGTCCTTTCCTGGCCTGATGAGGACATTACGCCCACTGTGGGAAAATGTCTGACCTCGCGGAGATAGACAATGACACTGAGGTCCCCCAGCTGCCACCCCTGCATGGCGCCTGGCGCAGTGAGGCCTCCTCTGGCTGACTCGGAGCCCATATGGGCCTGTGCCCCTGCACTTTCCCAAGAGAGGAATGTTCCGGAATAGATAAAGCTCCAAAGGAACAAGGAAAGGCCAGGTCAAGCCCTTCCTGCTACAAACAGCGAAATGGAGGTGACTTGCCTGAAGGCCCCCGCCGTTTGAACCAGAGCCAGTTAGGGACCCAGCTTCCACCCCAGGCAGGACAGTCCTTGTGCCCTGGCCTCTCTTGGGGACGCCACCTCTGGAACCTGACCAGCCAGGATCCCACCCAGTGGCACTGTGTGGCATCTCTGTGCCTCTGTGTCCTCGGCTGCAAAATGGGGCTGCCCAGCTTGCCCAGCTCCTGACTGGGGCCTAGTCCCATGCTCAGCAGGCAGGATGTTTGCTCATGGGCTGGCAGAAGCCCTGAGGTGGCCCCTGGCAAGCTGGGGACAGGTCTGGGCCTCCCTGGGTCAGCCATCTTCCTTCCATCACTGTGACTCTGGCAGGAGCATGCAGTGGGCTGCTCTGGGGCTGGAAGCCAAGGGCACAGGTAGGGAGCCTCTGAGAGCTGGGGTACAGCAACAGGAGCACCCACCCTGTTGGTCTGACCCCTGCCAAGCCGCCTGGGTGGTGGCACCCAGGACACACCTCAGCCCAGCTGTCACTGACGTGGGGCTCCCGAATCCCTTGAGTGTGCCAGTGTGGACGCCACCGCCCATGGGACCAGCCGCCAGCCCCCAGGGGTTTAGCACTAATGCGATGCTCTGCCACCTGTGCCCGGGGACAGAGACAAGACACAGACCCTGCAGGAGAGAGACAGATCCAGGAGAGGAGGGAGGTGCCTGGGAGAGTCGTTGAAAGACCCAGAAAAGAAAGTGAACAGAGGGCACCGGCCCCAGGACGGAGCTTCCCCCACCCAGAGACTCCTAGTTGCTTCCTGCAGGCCAGAGAACACGCCTGTGACGTCCTTCATCTTACACACAGGAGACGCACGCGGTGAGGCCAGGCAGCCAGAGCCCTCCCTGGGTCTGAGGCGCATCTAGACTCCAGGCTTTGAGTGAGGGTCCCAGGGCTGGCTGGGCACCAGGCAGCTTCTAGGCGGTGGCAGCTGCTCTGCAGGTGACTGCCTTGTGAAATCAGATGAGAGGCAGACGCCCCAGCCCACATCTGTTAGCTGCATGGCCTGTGGTCAGATCCTCTTGTTCTCTGAGCCTCAGTTTCCCCACCTGGAAAATGGGAACAATGTCCCACCCTGTCGGAGTGAACTTGAGGCTCACATGGGTGGACGCTTGGCCCAGGACCCAGCAAAGGCAGAGCTAGAGCCGGAGCCAGAGTGCAGCCTAGGCTGTTTTTTCAGGGAAATTCCTTAGGGTCTGGGTGAGCCAAGGAAGAGTTGCTTTTGTTTTTTTTCCTGTTTTTTGAGATGGAGTTTTGCTCTTGTTGCCCAGGCTGGAGTGCAGTGGCTCACTGTAACCTCTGTCTCCTGGGTCCAAGTGATTCTTCTGTCTCAGCCTCTTGGGTGGCTGAGATTACAGGCACCCACCACCACGCCAGGCTAATTTTTGTATTTTTAGTAGAGACAGGGTTTCATCATATTGGTCAGGCTGGTCTCGAGCTCCTGACCTCAGGTGATCTGCCTGCCTCAGCCTCCCAAAGTGCTGGGATTACAGGCGTGAGCCACCGCACCTGGCCTAAGAGTTGCTCTTTATTTGAGTGAAGAGCGTAGCCTGGGCCAGCCTGGTCCTTCTGCCCACTGGCTCACAGGCAGAATTGGCAGCTGGGCTTCTGCAGGTCATTCGCCGCTCCTGCCCGCCCGACATGCACCTGACTGCTGCCCGCGGGAATCCGCCCACACCCTCACAAGCTCCATCAGTCCCTCCTCCAGCTCCTGGTCAGCGTCACGCAGCGCAGGTGTGGACCGGCTCTGCCGTGGCCTCGTTTGTGACCGGGAACACGTGAGATCCTTCTGAGCCTCGGTTTCCTCTCACGTGGAAGAGTTAAACTTGGGTCCCATGCAGAAGGCAGCTCTGGGGACAGACAAGGAGGGACTTCCTCCCGCAGTGGCACTCTGCTGTGGGCCTGCAGCAGAGCCGGTGCTGTGAGCGACAGCGGTTATTAATGACAATGTCATGAATAAAAATCCGCACGTCTGTCCCTCCACTCCCCGCCCATCCAGATCAGAAATTCCTGCTTGCTAGAATTCTGTGCGGACTAAGAGTCCGTTAGCCCTGACCTGTGTCACTAAGGACAGAAATGCCTCTGATGTGGCTGCGGAGGCAGGTCGTGGGTGCTGACGAGGTTCCAGCAGGTGGAGCGTGAGGGAGGGGGGGCGCTGGGCGAGCCGGGGGCTGAGAGGGAGGAGTGTGCGTGGGAGGCAGCCGCAGGGCCCCCACGCCGCTGGGCCCAGGTCTGACTCCGGCCAGCCGCTCTGCGCTGTCTGACTGGGGAGCTGTGGCTGGTCTGGGGAACAAGCCGTGGGGCATTGGCCGCGCTGCCCACCCAGAGGTAGCAGAGGCCTAGGCCACAGGTGCAGCCACAGAGCTTTGTAGCTCCATGAGAAATAGCGTGGGGCCCGCCGGGCTGGCTGGACGCCACCAGGGGCTGCAGTGGCCGCACGCTGTGTTCCCAGCCTTGAAGGAACAAACCCAAAACTCGCAGCCACGCCGTCTCTGGTCCTGGGGGCTGGAGTCTGCAGCTGCTCCCCAGACACAGCTGGGATTTCCCTGGAGACTGTACCTCTCAGGTCCTGGTCCATCCCATGGACACGGCCCAGCTTTGCAATCACAGATTTGGCAGGGAGGGGGTGCTGACGGGACAGGCGGCCACCCTTGCCCCCACTGCCCTGCTGGTGGATGGAAAGGGGGCTCCCTTGCCGAGAAGGACTGGCGTTCTGATGCATTGCAAGGCTAAACTTTAAGCACCCTTCCCATAGAACCTCCCTAGAGCATTCTGGGGATCCGAGCCCACCTGTCCCCGGGGCTGCCCGCTCCCCAGGCATGCAGGGGGTGCCAGGACTCCCCAGCACTGGAACCTGGGCAGCAGACGGCAATGTGGAGAGCAAGGCCAGAGCCCTGTCCCTGTGCCCCGTGGGGGGTGAGAGCCTCGGCTGGGCCTCTGTCGGCAGCGCTGACTCCCCGAGGGCCGCTGGGTGGTGGGGTGGCTCCTGGGGAGAAAGCTGAGCTCATCTAGTTGCAGGGTGAATGGAGAGTCAGGGGCCTGCTCAATGCTGAGCCACAAAGGGGCCTCTGGTGGAGGGGACCGGGGTCCAGGCTTACCCAGGGCAGCCCTTCCCTGATGGGCCGTCCCCAAAGCAGAGACCTATCATCCCCCTTTTCCCCCACATCTGCGGCAGGCGCTTCCATCACTCGCTCACGGACCACCCCCGCTGGATCCGAGAGCGCAGCCACGAGTCCTACGCCAAGAACTACTCCGTGGTCTTCCCCCACGATGAGCCGCTGGCCGGGCGCAACATGAGGAGAGACCCACTGCATGAGGTGACGCCCCTGCTGCTGCTGTGACCTTGCCCGGGGCAGGCAGCGAGGCTCTGGGAAGTCCTCAGGGCACGGGCGGTGGGGGTGGGGAATGGAAATGCAAGGCGTACCGCAGCCTGCAGGTCAGGCGAGGTGGCGAGGCATCTGTCGTTCCCCGGGTAGTAACCCGGCACCCCCAAGTGTTGGGCTCAGAGCTCAGGGCCGGGACATTAGGGAATAAAGTGGGAATGGCTCCCTCCCCCAGGGGAGCTTCCGTTCTAGTGGAGGAGCAGGAACGTGCACCCAGGAATCGCCCTCCGCCCCCGACAACCTTTGCTGCAGCACCAACAGGGCAGGGGTGCTGGGGACGGGGGCTTGGTGGGTGTGTGCAGGCAGCCACGGGTAGGGGAGCAGCCAGATCACGGCGTGCCCAGGAGAGGGGCTGCATCTCATAGAGCCTGCTGCGGAGGCTCCTGTGCCCTGGTGAGCTTCTACTCACCCCTTCAGTGAAACCCAGCGTCAGGTGCCCTTTTTCAGGTCTGCCCCTGTGCCCTCCCCTGCATCCCCAAAGACCCAGGAGCTCCTTCCCTGCATTCCTAGCCCCTGTCTCCGTTCCTTCCCCCCTTCCTGGCCATCTCGTGCTGGACGCTTTGCTTGCTGGGAACGGGCGCTATGTCCTAGGCACTCTGGCTCCTGAGCACTGAGGGCTTGGGGGCTGTTTGTTGAACAGATGGCTGGGCAGGGAGGCAAGAGGGCAGGCCCAGGGAGCAGGTGGCATTGAAACTGGAGAAGGCGCCCCCCTCACCTGAGACTCCAGTGCCCCAAGAGAGACCCGATATTAGCTGCACCTCCCAGGGAGAAGCTCAGAGGCGGGAGTGGTCGGAGGGCTGGCTCCCAGGCTGCCCTGGGCCTCTGGCTGGGCGTGGTGGGCCAGCTATGATCTCAGGCCACACATGGCCCTGGGGGACCCCAGCATCCCTCCGGGCCTGTAGTCACCCGCTTGCCAGTCCTGACAGCTCAGAAGCCTCCCCGGGTGAACGTGGGGTTTGCTCCCCTCGCAGTCAGCTCAGGCATGTTCCTCAGAACTGAGCAGCTCTGCCGGAGAGATCTGGCAAGGCCTGAAGCGCGCCGCTGCCCCGCAGGGAAACCTCGTTCACCCACGCCTGCCGCGACGCCCTCCCGCGCTAGCAGCCTTCTCGCCGCACTTGACAGCCGCTTCCGTCTGTTTTCTTTCTTTCCTTTATGAAGAGCGGAGCCTGCCCTCGTTTAATGGGCCCTTGAGATGGACACTCTCCCTCCTTGGAAAAGTGGCCCATGGCATGTCCCTGTTGTTCATGGAGGGGTGGGTGGGTTTTGTGCTCTCGATTGCCGCCCCTCGGAATCCCAGACGTGCAGGGAGGACAGGCTGTGTCATTGATGAGTGCTGAGGCCTTGGGGTGCCTCATCCTTCTTGGGCTCTCGGGGGTGGAGGGGAGGGCAGGTGTGGTTGGGACAGGCCCTTGGCTGCCCACCCAGAACCAGGGGCAGCCCCCAAGGCCCTCTCAGTCCTGGGCTTGGGGCCTCCTTCCCATCGGGTGGGGTGGCCCCTGGGTAGGTCCTTCCAAACCCGAAAGCGATGATTCTTTTTTTCTTTTTCCCAAACCACATTTATTTTTACAGAGAGCTCCCACTCTGTTTCTCTGGTGTGTGCATTACATTCGTTGTTGTGATTAAGTAGGCAGGTCTTAAAACGAGCCGTTTTAACCACTCTCAGCTGCGCAGTTCAGCGGCATGAAGTACATTTGCAGTGCTGCACAGCCATCCCCAACACCCAGTTCCAGAACATTCTCACCACGCCACAGGGAAACGCTGCCCCAGCCAACGGCCCTTCCTCATCTCCCCTGCTCCCCACTAGCCCTGGCAACCTAGAAGCTGCTCTCCATCTCTACGGATTTGCCTGTTCAGGTCGCTTCAAACACAGGGAATTGCCCAATATGTGACGTTTTGTGTCTGGCTTCATTCCTGTAGCATGTTCTCAAGGTTCATGCACGTCATAAAATGTGTCCAAATTTCATTCCTTTTTATGGCTGAATAATATCCCGCAGCGTAGGCAGACCACACGTTTGCTGATCCGCTCATCAGCTGAGGGCCGTGGGTTTTCTACCCTGTTGGGTGGTTGTGGACAGAGCGCTAAGAACACATGTGAGCAGAATTTGTTTGCAACCTGCTCTCAGTTCTCCTGGGGATACTCGGGGTGGAATTCCTGGGTCGTATGGTGAATTGTCTGCTAGGGCAGCCACAGCAAAAGGCCACAGGTGGGGAGGCTTACACAGACCTTTTTTCTCACACTTCTGGAGACTGGGAGCTCCAAGATCAAGGTGTCAGCTGACGGGTTCCTGGAGAGGGTTCTCCTGGCTCATAGGCGGCCACATTCTCACTGACGTCCTGCAGTGGGGAGAGGGCTCGGCATCGCCACTGCTCTTCCTATAAGGGCCTCAGTCCTATGGGATTAGGACCCACCTGATGACCTCACTTAACCTTAACCTGAAGATCTCATCTCCAAATGCAGTCACGCTGGGGTAGAGCTTTAATTTATGAATTTAGGGGTGATGTGATTCAGTCCGTAGCAGGTGGTAATTCTATAGATGAGGGTTCTCAGGGCGAGGGCAGACCAGGGCAGGTAGTAATTCTACAGATGGGGGTTCTCGGGGTCAGGGCAGACCAGGGCAG